CAAAAACACTATTAACTGGCCTATAATAATATTCAACTTCACTGTGAGATTTTTTGCTCTAACACAGACAATCTGAAAGAATTAGTCACAAGTATTTAATGGCCTATTTCAAACAAAACATATACCTCATTCCCGAGAGTTTAGCTGTAGGTAAGCCTCAGGATGTAGCCTAGACCACAAGTTACAAGGCAGAGAGCACATTAAGATCTGTGTTCTTACTCTCTCTGAACAATTCACTTGTATATACAATTTCCTCAGGAACTGCAAATGGCACTGGTTGTCACATGGAATTATTAAAGACAAAGTGTTAATTTGACTGGATTTTTTTTTCCCCAGCCATTTTGTATTTTCTATGACAAACTTTATCATAAAATGAATTATTTCTAATTTATTTACAGAGTCTGATGATACTTAAGAAATTCAGGAAAATAAAAACACTAAGGATCAGGTAAGGAGAAACTTGCAGAGAACAGAAACTTTTCCCCAAGATTTTTTTTTTTGTATCCCGTATATAAACTCTAAGAAGTTGTTAAACAAAACCAGAAAGCAACTGAAGTAATCCCACCTACTTAACAACACTGTTTCAAACATTCCGGCCCTCCTCTGTGTTATGTCTCCAAGTTAAAGGATGTTGAAGGAGCACTGAAGTCTTACCAGAGTCGCATTCCAGTTTGGTTCGATTCAAATCAATGCCATCGTCCACAAACTGACAAATGGAAAAGAGTCTGCAGCCTCGCTGGCACGCGTAGAGTTCCTCTTCCTGGGAAGGCACAAGAAAAAGACTTGCATCCCTCCATTCAAGAATAAATTGTCAGAAAACAAACAATTTTTTTTTTTTGGAAGTGCTATAAAAAGCCACCCACCAGAGCACCATCCTCCTTCCCTCTGCTAGACCTAAAAGCCAACTACTAAACCTGAGACTCTGGATCATCTTAAATAAAACCAAGCTACAGCTCTTTTCACGCTGTAGCAGCAGCTACAACAGTAACATTATTGATTTATTTCTAACAGAGCTCTTTATTCTGTAGTGGGACAGACCTGAAACAGCAAATTCTATTTTGTAATTCCACTCCCACAACTCACAAGCAAAGTTGCACTGCAATTTTTTTTAGTAAGTGTCACTTTTAAAAGAGATATGGCTGTAAAAGATTTAGTGACATTTAACCCTACAAAGAGTAGATGGGTTTCCATTTCAGAACTTACACAGCAGAACTCAACAGGAAAGGACAAAAAGAGAAGAGACTATTTTTGACACTGTATTACGATGTATCTACCAGACTCCATTCAGAACTACAACAGACTTGTCAAAATGAGAGATTATCTTCTGACGCAGTAAAGCAGTTAACCAGGGTACCGGTAACTTGCCAAACCAGTTCCACAAACATTTTTACGTATTATATTGAGCTGAAGTGGAAAAGTTCTTCCTCTAAATTGGAGAGACATGGATTTGATGGATGGACCACTCGGCGGATAAGGAACTGGCTGGATGGCCACACGCAGAGCTGCGGTCAATGGTTCAATGTCCAAGTGGAGACCAGTGACAAGTGGTGTTCCTCAGGGGTGGGTACTGGGACCAGTGCTGTTTAATGTCTTTGCTGGTGACATGGACAGTAGGATTGAGTGCACCCCTCGGCAAGTTTGCCAATGACACCAAGCTGTGTGTCAACATGCTGGAGGGAAGCACCTGCACTTGGGTCAGGGCAATCCCAAGCACAAATACAGGTTGGGCAGAGAATGGATTGAGAGAAGCCCTGAGGAGAAGGACCTTGGGGTGCTGGCTGATGAGAAGCTCAGCATGAGCTGGCAATGTACTCTCACAGCACACAAAGCCAACAGTATCCTGGGCTGCATCAAAAGAAGTGTGGCCAGCAGGTCAAAGGAGGCGATTCGGCCCCTCTGCTCTGGTGAGACCCCACCTGCAGTACTGTGTCCAGCTCCAGGGCCCCCAACATAAGAAGGACATGGACCTGTTGGAGCGAGTCTAGAAGAGGCCATAAAGATGGCAGAAGGCTGTGGGTCAGGGCAATCCCAAGCACAAATACAGGTTGGGCAGAGAATGGATTGAGAGAAGCCCTGAGGAGAAGGACCTTGGGGTGCTGGCTGATGAGAAGCTCAGCATGAGCTGGCAATGTACTCTCACAGCACACAAAGCCAACAGTATCCTGGGCTGCATCAAAAGAAGTGTGGCCAGCAGGTCAAAGGAGGCGATTCGGCCCCTCTGCTCTGGTGAGACCCCACCTGCAGTACTGTGTCCAGCTCCAGGGCCCCCAACATAAGAAGGACATGGACCTGTTGGAGCGAGTCTAGAAGAGGCCATAAAGATGGCAGAAGGCTGTAGCACCTCTTCTATGAAGACAGGCTGAGAGAGTTGGGGTTGTTCAGCCTGGAGAAGAGAAGGCTCTGGGGGAGACCTTATAGCCCCTTCCAGTACCTAAAGGGGGCTACAGGAGAGATGGGGAGGGACTCTTGATCAGGGAATGGAGCGATAGGACAAGGGGTTTAAACCAAAAGAAGGGAGATTTAGATTAGATATTAAGAAATAATTATTTCCTGTGAAGGTGGTGAGACACTGGAACATGGCAGGGGGGTTGGAACTCGATGGTCTTTAAGGCCCCTTCCAACCCAAACCATTCTGTGATTCCCCACTGCAACTATTAAACTTATGCAAATATAGAAAACCTACACCTAGTATTTCTTCTGTTCACAACACCACAGGGATAGATGTGCACTTTCCACATACAGTGCTCCCCACATTGTGGAGCTAAAGATACCCTCTATTACATGAGCTGTCCCACTTACAATCCCATCCTATCATGAATCAGGCCCATCAAAACCACTAAACACATAACTCCTCAAATGACTGCAGCCAGTTGCTATACAGATGGAAAATGGACTCTGAATTAATTTAACAAAAACTAAACATACCACACCTTCTGTGTAACCTACTGTAAACAAACTGGCCATTGGTTGCCTCTGAGATAACAAGTTCACATGCTTTAAAGGCACTAAAGTAGAAGACTGTAAATGTAAATGAAAACTCAACTCTAATGATGCTGATAAGGTGGCTAAGACAGTTATGCTGCTGCAGAAAACATGTTTGTAATTTGATATCCAGACAGAATTTGCTTTAGCAGACAGATTTCTACAGCAGTATTTCATACAAGTGTCGATAAAGCATGTCTTACTTTCCACTGACAACTAAAACAATTTCCTTCAATTCAACTGGTAGTTTTGTGACAAATGGAACAAAGACTAAATAAAAAGGAAGAGACAGGTGTGTTATTTGACAGCTCCAACACCATACAACAAAGAATTTAAAAGCACAATAAAAATCACAGAACTATCAGCTTTCCCTGAAACATGAGCATTGAATGAAAACAGTAAGGAAATATATTAGCATAATGTTTAGTCCTAATCTCTCAGGCTTAGTTATTTCTCTTCAGTATCGTCACACAAAAGTATCAAAACATGCCATAAACACAGCTGCAAGGTTACTTGTACTCCACACAACTCCCTGTTACTTCCCTCCGTGGGAAGTATCAGCTAGAGCTGCAAAATCTGATTTTTTCACCTGAAAGAGACAAAACCCTATTACCTAACATTGTCACTGCTTCCATTTGTCCGCTGCCCTTGTGTAAAATTTCAAAGATGGTGCAACAGCTTCCATCATTTAGAGTTCAACCTGCTACACAGCTGCAGCCGATATTGAAATATATTGCCAAGAACCAGGAAAGACAAGATTTTTGGCAACAGATTTTGGAAATGCAAACCAGCAGTTAAAGGTTTACAAAGCACTGAACCAACAGCAAACTCTGCACTATGAAATTATATTCCCATTACACACCATTTCTGTACTTTATCATGAGATGAGAAAAACTCCATACAAGTGAAACAAAACACAGATTAAAGGTTCTGACAAGCTACTCATTTGTCATCACTTATGCTTCATCTTTCAATATCCAAGTGCCACACTACTGCCCTGACTCATGATCTTTGGCCTGTCATGGACACAGCATTGTTTTAGTATCTAGAAACATGGCACAGCCCAAGCCAAATTACAGCTGCCTCTTTAGGAACAGGAGGGGGAAAAAGCAGCTAAATCCCCCAAAACTACCCAGCACTAACAAATCTGTACTTTGAAAGCAGCATTTCTCTGGCAGGCTGCAGCCTAACCATCAATTTTCAAAATTAAGTATCTATCTTTAGAGAAACCACCACATTCCCCACTTTGAGGGGAAGAAAAACTTAAGCCAGATGAGAAATGCCACAGAAGGCCAGCAGCAGGCTGCTGACTGCTCCCAACTGCTGCCAGCGTCAGCTTCCTCCATGTTTACGTTTACCTAAAGACACGTCTAACACCGCTTGAGCAAACACGGAGGGAACAAGCTTCGACAAGGGCTCCCACCCGAGAAAACCCCAGGTACATCCTGTCACTCTGGAGCGCCATAAGGGGTTGCGGGGGGGATGGGGTGGGGAGAAGGGCAAGCGACAGGCCGGGAGATGGGGAAGCCGAGGCCGTGCTGCCCGCCAGCCCCTCAGCAGGGCTGCGGGGGGAGAGAGAAGGGGAGCGGGAAGGGAAGGGGCCCAGCCCGGCCCGCCGGGAGCCGTGAGGCAAGGCCCGCCCGTACCTTGGGGTAGGTGTGCAGGGGGTAGGTCAGCTGGCAGGCGCGGTGACACGATGCCGTGTTGCCCAGCACGGAGTCAAAGGCCTCGGACGAGGCGGCGGGCAACGGCCCGGCGGCCCGAGCGCTGCTGCTGCCGCCACCCGCCAGCAACGCCAGGGCGAGAGGTAAGCAGAAGAGGCCACCCCGCCGCACCGCCATCTTCCTCCTCCCACAAACCCCCCTCACTGACGGCGGAGCACTCTCGCGAGATTAAGCCCCCTCTCCTCCCCCGCGCGGTGCCTGCTGGGAGATGTAGTCCACGCCGCCTGGCTGCCCGGGCCACCCCATTGGGCTTCGCCTCCGGCGGGAACTACAGGGCGGAAAGGGCCGGGCAGCGGCTTCCGGAAGAATGGACCGGTTCGTGGTGCGGAAGGCCCGCGGCTCGGAGAGCCCCCGCCGGCCCGGCCCGGCCCCCCGTGCCTACCGGCAGGCCACCCTCGAGTCCCTTAAGGCAGGTCACCGGTGCTGGGGGATGGAGGGGAGCGGGAGGGATAGTACGGGCTCGCCTCGACCTCCCGGGCCTGAGGGGGGGATCTGCATCCCGCGGCACCGGGTGCTCCTGCGGGGCCCGCTGCCGCTGAGGGCACGGGGTGAGGCCTTGCACCGGGGCAGGACCGTGCTGCTCCCCGGAGGCTGTGTGCCAGGGCGGCGGGAGCGCTCCGGGAGGAGCCAGGCGGGCCCTGAGGCACCTCGGACAGAAGAAGGGGTGTGAGGCCTTCATCAGGCTACCATCCTTATAAATACTTAAAGGGTGGGTGTTAAGAGGACGGGGCTAATCCTTTTTCAGTGGTGCCCAGGGACAGGACAAGAGGAAACGGGCACAAACTTGAACATAAGTGCCGTCTAACATGAGAAGGAGCTTCTTCACTTTGAGGGTGGCAGAGCCCTGGAACAGGCTGCCCAGGGAGATGGGGGAGACTCCTCCTCGGGAGACATTCATAACCCACCTGGACACTTTCCTGTGCAACCTGCTCTGGGTGGACCTGCTTTGGCAGGGGGGTTGGACTGGATGATCTCCAGAGGTCCCTTCCAACCCCATGTGATGCTGTGATTCTGTAATCCTGCCTCTGCATGGAGCTGAGCAGTGTGGGGTGACAGCGGAAGGAACACTTTGTGAACTAATTCTGAACTGATGTCCTTTATGATCGGGGAGGATGAGGAACATGTGAACCACACCTTCTCAGCAGTTGCCCTGTGCCTATCTAGGGACTCACCTCCAGTTGCAGTTCTTCACTGAAATCTCTGCAACGTGGCATCCTCACAGAGAGCAAGGGAACCAAGTTAAAAATGTGCAGAGAGCTCTATTGCATTGACAGGGGCTTCCTAAACCGAGATGGGTTGTAACTTGGCTCCTTCCAGCCTGTTTGGTGTGGCGTAGGGTCAGGCTGGGCACACAGTTGGAGTACAGCCAGGTGACAGCACCAGCTTCAGTACTCCCAGCCGGCTCACTTCTCTCCCCAGCAAGGAGAGCCCTTCAGTCTCCTGCAGAAGACCTGTGTAAGAACCGAGCCCCTTTTCACCATCTGTTTGCAGAAACACAACAGGAAAGCATTTGCTGCACCAAGGAGCTTATTAATATCAGGCAGAAAGTAAAAGAGTGGTACAAAAAGCACCCCAACTGTCTGACTGTTGTTAAATCTTTGTAAGATGCCTCACATCCAAAAGATGAGGGTTGCACTGTTTGCAGCCTCTTCTGTCAGGGTCTGAGGCAAAAACCACTGTAAATGTCCAGTGTACTTGAGTTTGCGTTCATGTGCCCTAATGCTTTGTTTCTGTCCCTGCTGACATTATTTTAAATTTAAAGCAAGTCTGAGCAGGATCCAGGTTCTGCCAGGCTGCTAAAGATAACAAGCTGCCTCCTGCTTACTCCCTTTTTCTATTAAGAGACATTTATACAATGGACTTCTTAAATTCAAAACAGTTCTCTTCTAGCAGACATTTGCTGTTACGTGCCCTCAGTTTGTCAGACTAAGGTGAATCATCTTGCTTTGCTTTCTAGTTATTTCAGTCTTGATTTGCAGTAGGCTGCTAATCTCAAGCAAGTACCCATCATTCCAGGCCATCATGTATTCTGTGCTCTGGTTCATACTGTAATCAATAATTCATGTGTTGATAACATCCCCATTAGCAGAGATGAAGCCAGTGTCCTTATTTATAATAAGAATATTCCACTTTCCTAATGGCTTTTCTATTTTCCAGAGAGTTGTGGTTGTGGAAGACATAAAACGATGGAAGTCTATGCTTGAGCTTCCCGGGCAACAAAAAGAGAATCTGATTGAAGCTTTGGAGGAGCTGAAGAAGAAAATACCTTCCAAGGAAGTATTACTTTCAACAAAAATAGGTACTTGTGTGATTTAGACTGTGACTATTAGGTTGCCTTGTGTCTGTTTGGCTTGTCAGTACACAAGAGAGTAGCTTGCAAGGTTTTTAAGAAACAAGTGTAGCTGCCAATAAAAAGGTGTTAATATCCAGCCTGCAGTTTTCAGAGCTTGTACTCATAAAGTCAGCTCTCCTCTTAATTCCTCCCAGATTGCCTGCGTATTTCCAAATACTGTCTCACCCCTTCTGTGGTCAAATTTTTGAAGAGCTCTGCTTGGGCATCTGTGTGTTTTATTCCTCCTGCTATCTCTCAGGGACATGGGAGAGTGCTCTCTTGCCATCTGAGACACAGCTCACCTATTTGACCTGGCTGAATGCTCTCAACATGTGAGAAATTCTCCACGGATTGCTCCAGGACTGCTTACTGCATCCTCCTGCTGAGAAATCCCCAAGCAGAGGGGCAGCTCCATGCCAGTGACACATCCCGATGCCTGGCTCCTTTCCATAGGGCGTGGGGGAGGGACAACCAGACCACATGGTCCTTGCCTTTCCTGTCTATGGAGAGCATCCTGGTGTGAGAGACAGTTGTGCTGGCCTTTGTTTGCCACTGCAGCAGCTGGATCTCTATTCAAAGACCCCTCCTTGCCTTAGAAACGGTGATGAGATCTGCCCCTTTTCCCTTACAGTGTCATTTCATTTGCCCTGTTCAGCTTTTTTAGTGTTTTCCTGAGATTTTTTTCCCCCCAGTGCCTGCCTGAAGGCAGCAGGGCTGGAACAGCCACCGAAGCCTAACAGTGACATCTCCTGGCCAAGAGTGCTAGTGGTCAGAGACAAATACCTCGCTGGAAGAAGGTCCCTTTGTCTCCTCTCAGAGGAAAGCCTCCTTTGCTCTTCCAGGTCCTGTTGATTGGAAAGATTCTGCTTGGAGTCACCATGGAGTTTGTGTGTTAAAATGCTATAGTTGTCACCGGCCACATCTGTTTCCTTAAAGGGGTTTTCAGTTCAAACCCAGCATTCTTTGCGGGCCAAATCTTACAAGCTTTCACCAGGTCTCATGTCTGTGTAGAAATTAATATAGCCCTCTGTTACCTAGGTGTCGCCTCACACCTTGGTGACTTGGGAAGGTAATTTTCATATGTATAGGTCAATTCCTTGCTAGTTGATTAGGCAAAAAATCACTGCAGAACTCAAGAAGCGAGAGCTTCAGGCTTAATTACACAGAATGATATGGGGTTGGAAGGGACCTCTGGAGATCACCTAGTCCAACCCCCTGCCAAAGCAGGTCCTCCCCGAGCAGGTTGCACAGGAACGTGTCCAGGTGGGTTCTGAATGTCTTCAGAGAAGGAGACTCCACCACCTCTCTGGGCAGCCTGTTCCAGGGCTCTGCCACCCTCAAAGTGAAGAAGTTCCTCCTCATGCTTAGATGGAACTTCTTACGTTCAAGTTTGTGCCCGTTTCCTCTTGTCCTGTTGCTGAAAAAAGACTGGCCCCAAGCCAGTTCCTAATAAAAAAATATAAAATACAATATTAAACCCAATTCCTAATAATTATATATTTGTATCAATGCTGTGGTTGTATTGCTGCCACTGCCTGAGTTAAAAACGTGTGTGGCTGCTTAGCACCGATGTGATTTGACCGGTGTCCGTTATATTTTATCTTCCTACCAACCCTGAAGGAGCTGCTGGTGTTTTCCAGGTCACACAGTGAATAAGATGCGCAAACATTCTGATCACGACGTGGCCAGCCTCGCCAAAGAGATTTACACGGAGTGGAGAACTTTCATCAAAGACCATTCAAACAAGCCCTCAATAGAGGTCAGGAGCGATCCCAAGACCGAGGCTTTCAGAAAGAACGCGCGGAAGCTGCTTTGTAAAGCCCTGGATCTAGAGGTAGCGTTCAGATCCATTTGTCCCTGGCTCAAAGAGTTATTTCTTGTAGGAACAAGTCAAACAGACTTTTTTTCAGCCGTAGCTACAGTAAAGCAGGTCCTGCCTGCGGAGTGGGGACAAGAACAGATGATCTGATCCTATTTTCAGTGATTCACTGTGCATCCCTATTTATAAATAGCTTTGTTTTCAAGCTAGATAATATTTTTTTTAATTGTTAACCAAGTAACCCTGCTAATTGTGAGGTATATTTGCTCTCATTTACATAACCAGCCAACAGAACAGTTGTGAATCTGCTGCAGTTAGGCTGTGCAAGAGAAGGAGGAAGTTAATAGAACATAAAGTTTTTCCTACGACTTAACAGCTGTGAAAGCAACACTGGGACCTTTTGGTTGTTTCATATTTAAGTAATTAAACATTTGTAAATTTAAATCTATTGCAAAAACAGAGAGGCAAGGTTGACAGTATATAAAGTGATGATAAATACCAGATCCCTCAGGTATCTTTAAGTAAATGAACAGGGCTTTGCTGTAAGGCTTAATGACTAGTTTGCTTGGTCTATGAAATGCCATAATAATTATCCTTTTTAATTTATTCATTAATTATCCTTTAAATGCCAAGTCAAGTGATAAGCACTCAAGAGTTTCAAAGCTTAGGTGTCTCCTAGCTATGAGAACAACCTCTCCAAATTCCAGTCCATCCAGACTGAGGCAGGGAAAAAGGATGGTTTGCTGTGGGAACAGAAGAGCAGGAAAAAAAGGTGGGAGCTCACCTTTGCCAGGCTGCTGGGTCAAGCTTGCTTCTTGGATAGCAGATACATGCATGGTGATAAGACTGGTAGTAAAGCCTGGACCTATGGGACATAAAGGCTGTGGTACCACACTAAAACAAGTAGTTTTGGGTAAAGCAGAATTGCTTTTGAACAGGACTCACCTGAAAGCACAGCAAGGAAGAACATCCTTCTAGTTTGCAGCTACCACTATATGCCCAAGTAAAGCTTATAGCAGCAGGTGAACAGCATATATAGGCAGGGGAGCCACATGAGCAGGGACACCTGAGAGGCTGACAAAAAGGAGAAGGGAAGGTGGGGCTGAATGGATCCAAGGAGCTTCTAGTGCTGCCCAACAAAAGGGCAATTTAGTGATGGGTAGCAAAAAAAGGAGCGGGCAAAGGACTTGGAGAAGTACTGCGTGGCAGGCTGGAATCTCCTGCATGCAAAGCATGGGAGATTCCCCACCACAAAAGGCAGAAGTGAAATTAAAACCAACAGCAGCAGGTGAACAGCATATATAGGCAGGGGAGCCACATGAGCAGGGACACCTGAGAGGCTGACAAAAAGGAGAAGGGAAGGTGGGGCTGAATGGATCCAAGGGGCTTCTAGTGCTGCCCAACAAAAGGGCAATTTAGTGATGGGTAGCAAAAAAAGGAGTGGGCAAAGGACTTGGAGAAGTACTGCGTGGCAGGCTGGAATCTCCTGCATGCAAAGCATGGGAGATTCCCCACCACAAAAGGCAGAAGTGAAATTAAAACCATTTCTTGATGGGTGGGGGATTTTTTTTTTTTTCTAAGCTGTGCTAAATTACAGGTTTTGGCACATGTTGAAGCAATAACTACATAATTAACATTTAGCAAATCCCTTTCTGCATTCTTAATTACACCTCCTTCTACACACAGAGAGCCCACATTTCCCTTTATAGCAGCAGGCAGAGATTGCCAAGTGTTTGGCATGTCTTAAGAGTTGCTGTTGGAATCAAGTTTAAAATAGTATCCAAGGTACCTTTATATCAGCAAGATCAAAAAGTGAGCTTTATGGAGACAGTACAACGTAGCTTATAATTGCAGTTGAGCTTGATACCCAAAGTCAGTTGCAGATTAGTTTCCTGTTGTGATGGCAAAGTACTGCCACCCAGCTGGAGACGTGGATATGTTCCCTGCTACTGACCACATTGTCTTGTTCCTTAATTGCCAGGGTGGAATTAAATTGCTCTTCCTGTTACACTTGTGATGGGAAGTAGATTTCCTTGAATCTAAGCTGATTAATGAAGAAACACCGAGAAGCACCAAACTCCAATTTCAATCAGTTGGTCTCCTTATTAAATGTAAAGATCTAATTTTATACTTTGCTGTTTTCAGATTGATCACCCACTGGCTGAAAATATTGAGCGAGAAGCTTTTCATCTCTCTTCCCGTCTCATTAGCGCGCCGTACCGCAGAATGGTGCGAGCTCTTGTCTTCTCATTAAAGCACAAACCTGAAATCCGAGCAGAAGTCAAGGCTGGCACGCTCACCGTCCCTGCGTTTGTCCAGAGCCATAAAAAGTGAGGTGTCGGGCTTGATCCTGAGGGAGAACTTCACGTGCCCGTGTCTCTGTGGAAGTGGGAGCCCTCTCCGTCATGAGGGGAGTGCAGAAACACTGACAGTGTGATTCACTCCCTGAAATCCGAGCAGAAGTCAAGGCTGGCACGCTCACCGTCCCTGCGTTTGTCCAGAGCCATAAAAAGTGAGGTGGTGTGCTTGGTCCTGAGGGAGAACTTCACCTGCCTGTGTCTCTGTGGAAGTGGGAGCCCTCTCCGTCATGAGGGGAGTGCAGAAACACTGACAGTGTGATTCACTCGACACCACTCCATGACCAGGGCTGCTGAAGACAAGAACTACTAATGATGAAAATGGTGCTGTAAATCTGACTTGGTGGAAATCCATGTGGGCTTGTGGCGAGAAAAGCTGCTTCTGCTCTGCTGTATTTTTTCCTGCTACAAAACCATCCTTGCTGACTCACCTGTTTCTCACTTCTGCCCCTTTTTCATACCTCAGATTAGCTCCATCCCTGATGTGGATCTTCAGGTGGCATCAGCTGAATCATGTAAAGGGTTATCTCCGTGCTGTGCTGGTAGGGAATCCTGGGAATTCAGTATCCTACTGGATAACTGCAAACTCTATTTAACCCTAAATCAGCCACATCTGCTGTAGCTGGGCCCTGCCTGGGGTAAGAGCTGGCTGTTTTGCCAAGCCAGGTGATTGCCCTTTGCTGCCTTTCAGAGTTGGATGCAAAATGGGTCTCAATAGCTTGGTAGCCACCATTCCACAGGTGCACTCATGCCACGATTGTGGGCATCATGGAAAACCCTGGGGTGAAAATGGAAATGCCCTGCAGTATAGGTGCTATCTGATGCCTCTGCTGTTTAATGAGCAGCACACTCGGACTTCCATACCTCACTCATCATTTAAATGTGGTGCTTCTTCTCACTGTAATGTGAAAAAAAAACTTTGAAATGAATTTTCTAAATAAAATTAGATTTTAAGCAAAACTCTCCTTTTAAAGGCTTTTTTTTCCTCCAAAAGGAACATGGTTCAGAATGATTGTGTGAACAAATTTAAGCAACAAACTATTGCTTTAATTCCTTCTAGTTATTAAAAACTGGAAATCTTGCCTCTCATATTTGCTGTGCTTTCTTCAGTGCCACAAGTCATCTTGTTCTCCATAAGCTATTATTAAAGCTGTGACAGGCACAGTGTTTCTCTACTGGTAGGTAATAAAGTGCTCTCTGTTCTCTGTGTCTGTGTGTACATACACTGTGGACTGGCCACAAACCTTTTTCTGAATTACCAGTGTAGACAGAACCAAATACAGGGATGAGTGAAAGCTGCCTGCCTTAATATACCATAAGGAAGGGTTTTTTGATCAGTTGTAGTCACCACTCTTATTTCAGAAGAGTCACTTAAGGACAAATAATTCAGTGGGAAAACTACGAATCAGTCTTTATTCAGACCTTTGCATGACCGACTGTCGTTATGTGGACCTGCTAAATCCTTTTTTTTTCTTCTGTGGACACTAGAAGCTAAAGGAACACCCAAAACTTAGCTGAGGTGTTGAACTCTGTAAATTTAATTAGATAATCTCAGGTTCTTTTAAAACCATCTAAACCCTGTCTTGTTTGCTTGGGCCAGTGCAGGACGGTTGTGTTTGTGGTTTTTTTCTGTACACATTGTGAAGGTAACTCCAAACAGCTGGCTTTTCTGAAAACAGTGATGCTGTGGCAAACAGACATCTCATTTGTAGAGAGTGGAAGGTGAAGGGTAGGTGTCTTGGAGACAGCATGAGACAGAATCCGGCAGATACAGGGGTAGTTTGGGTCCCATGGACTTTTTCCACACCCTTTCTGGGTCCCTGACACCTTCCTTTTCTGAGCAGCCTTCAAGGAAGAGATTTTTTTTTTTAATGTATTTTGGATACCTTCAGCTTTTTAGGGATTGCAGAGATTTTATTTTTTATTTTTTTTTACTTCATTCTCAGTACACGCCAAATATTTTTTATTTGGGAATTAACTTCAGGGACGTAAAGTTACTACACAGGAGGAGAAAAACTCTCTTATAAATTTCCTCTATTTAATGGCTAATGTTTTTGTCCAACTTTTTTCAAAAGGGCCTAAGTGTATAGCTCTGGGTCCAGCTCTTCTATCTTGATGTTAAAGCGGGCAGCAACACTCGGGCTGAAGAGTCACAAACTCAGCTTTGCATAAAACTTGACTGTTTGGAGGAATCAGAAAAGATTCCTGAGGGCTGGATTTGAGACCCACAGGACAGAATGCAGAGAACAAGAGAATGGCTTTAAGGACAAAACCAGAAAGGAAGGTGGGGAATGAAGACAAAAACAGATGTAAAAGCAATGGGCCAAAAAAGGGCTTCCTTTTCCCAAAGGGCGATGCTGAATGTGACAACAGGATACTCGATACCCAGCAATAATCTGGTTTTTAATTACTCTATAAAGACCAGATTCCCCCCTTGGAGCAATCTCACCTGCACAACTGAGTTTATTTATGCCCTGGGTTACCTACTGAATCAGTTTGCTGCTCCTCAGGTCTTCCTTCCCTCCCCTGGGCGATGCTGCCGGTGGCAAGATGAGCTGTGTGGCTCATGGAGAAATCAGGAGGCCAGGGGTGGCCAGTGGGAGACTGGAGCCATGTGGCTCATGGAGAAATCAGGAGGCCAGGGGTGGCCAGTTCTCAGTGCTGTGATCCATTCCCCAGCTGCAGTTTGTGTGACTGGTTTTTAATTACTCTATAAAGACCAGATGCCCCCCTTGGAGCAATCTCACCTGCACAACTGAGTTTATTTATGCCCTGGGTTACCTACTGAATCAGTTTGCTGCTCCTCAGGTCTTCCTTCCCTCCCCTGGGCGATGCTGCCGGTGGCAAGATGAGCTGTGTGGCTCATGGAGAAATCAGGAGGCCAGGGGTGGCCGGTTCTCAGTGCTGTGATCCATTCACCAGCTGCAGTTTGTGTGACCCCTGGAAATCCCTTGAAATAGGGGGTCTGGAAGGGCACAGGGACCTGTGAATGCTCCCGGCAATGATTCTATCATTCTATGATTCTATGACCCCTGGAAATCCCTTGAAATAGAGGGTCTGGAAGGGCAAAGGGACCTGAATGTGAATGCTCCCGAGGCTGGCCTGGCTCTGAAACATCTGATTTGTAGTCTGTCTGTGGTAAACTCCCTCAAAAAGGGTCCTGCAGGACCCTCCCTAGCTTGGGTTCCCCCACCACATGGGTTACCTATCGGGCAGGAGGAAGAAAAGGCCCCTCACACATCCTAAGGTTTGGCCTCACTGGCCCAGGTGTGCGTTTCTCCTAAATTCTGCTCCTCCTCCTCCAGTTTTCCTCGGCAGCCGCCGTGTGGGGCAGACCAGCCACAGGGTACCGGTGGGACACATTACAAAGGCAGGGACTCTCCACAAGCTCCCATCTTCACGCTGGGGAAACCCTTTGAGATGAAAAGGGAGGATGAAAGGGCTGAGCGGTGGCTCCCTTGCGCTAGGGTTTCTCCGGCACCGTGCCTTTGAAATAGCTGGTTCCCTTTTTGCAGGGGAAACATTAAATGAAGGAGGCACCCAACCTGGAGAAAAGGTTCTTCTTTTTCCCCTTTTCTTACCATATTAAGCCCAGCCCACAGATTTCTTTCAGCGAAAGAGCAGATAAAGCCAACAGACCTACAGAGACCTGCTGCACCCAGCACAGAGAGGAGGGAAGCACCTTCTGGAGGTGAGTGACATCTCCTGCTCTCCTCCCCTGCCTTTGGGGCTGGTGCCTGGAGAATACAGGGTGGGAAGGCACCAGGTGATGGCTTGCTCCATTCCCCATGAGCAGGCATGGCTCAGGAGAGCTTTGTCCTGCTGCAAATGACTTGGGCGAATGAAGACAGGAGTAGACAAGACCCTCCCTGTCCTTCAGAAAAGAGAGTGCACAGCGGCTCACCATTTTTCATCTTTTAAGAGGCTCTTCAAAGCTTTCTCCACAAAGAACCCAAACTTTCAGATCTCATTTTCTTCCCTGGCGGACCTGTAATTCGGAGGGTTTGCTAGGCTGGCCCCGGATTAAGAGATGTTAAGGCAAGGAGCAGCCAGAGATGTCTTTTGGAGCTCTGATTGTTTGAAGCAGGCTCCTGGAAGTTTCCTCCCAGGGTATGTCAGCGCACCACGGGGCAGGAGCATAAAACGGAGCAGAAACTGGGGGCTGGAGCAAAGGAGGGATGGAGAAAAGAAGAGGTAGAGGGGGGGGAACATGTTCCCCAGACGGCAAACCCTCGCTCCTCCAAGCAGCACCAGAAGCCCTCAGTCTCCCTGGCTGCTTTAAATGGCTGTGGTATAAAGTGGTTTTAATTCTAATGAGTGAGCCCCTTCATAGCACAGATCGTGTTGTGGAGGATAACACAAGGGCTGGAGAGCCCTCCTGCATTTGTTTGAACACCCCTTTGCACAGGGGCTGATACAGAATCAGAATCATCTAGGTTGGAAGGAACTTTAAGATCTAGTCCAACCATCAACCTAACTCCGACAAAAAAACAAAAAACCCCAAAGAAAACCATACAAAAGAACCACCCCTGTTACTAAACCATGTCTCTAAGCTAACCCGTCTTTTGAAAACCTCCAAGGATGGTGCCATTCCAATGCTTAATAACCCTTTCAGCGTAAAAATTTTTCCTAATATCCAACCTGAACCTCCCCTGGCACAAATTGAGGCCATTTCCTCTTGTCCTGTCACCTATGACTTGGGAGAAGAGATCAACCCCCACCTCTCTACAACCTCCTTTCAGGTAGTTGGAATGCAAAGGAAGGCAGGATGCTATCTACCAAATACCTCCTTCATTATCTGTCCACAGCTCTTTGAACCCAAACTATG